GCGGCGAAATTTACTATCAGATATTAAACAGGGATAAAAGGAAATTTTCTAAAAATGAAACCTAGCTAGATCGATTTTTCACTCCCGAATCTACGCACATACTAAATTTCATGAAAATCGCTGGAGCCATTTCCGAGATTCCGATTATTACTCGTTTAAAGGATAAGATATGCAATTACATTACATTTTATACAATATAGATAGCACACCACCAGCGTTATCTCTGTAAAATCTTAATTTGAATCATGCACCAAAATCCAATGTTTTCCTTTAACAAGATACACAAAACACTGTTAATATCGGTGCTTTTCTCAACAAAGGCGTTTACAGTCCCCGTTACGAGCCGATTCGGGGAATGCTTGTAGCAATTGTAACTGCAGCTTCGATCGCGGACAATAATTTGTTTACTTTAGACCGTGGAGGAGCATTAAGATCATTGTTTACTGCGAGACCACACACGGATAACTGGCGATGTCTGCTATTGATGCCGAACGCCGGTTTAATTGCAGGATATCGTATTTATGCTGGTAATATTGCATTAGAGATTCGAAATAAATCCTTTGGCAGTTTGTAAACACGTAGCCATGAGCAATAACGATAGAATAGAGCAGAACATAATAAAAAATAAAAAATAACTGAGACAGAAAACCCTAATAAGTAATTAAATGACACAGTGAATGTTAATCTAGATTTTTTTACGTACTTAACTTTGTTATTTTTTTTAATCCCTATTCGCCACTTAACAATAAAAGTACACAAACACAAATATAAACTTAATTATCTTAATTATACCAAAGCTGTAACATAATGGAACTGTGGTATTTGAATCTTAACGACGATATCACCACAAGAGTCAAGATCTCTTAAGTTGTGTCACTTTTATAAAGTTTTTATTACAAATTTGTAAGTATACGGCAAAAATCTTTCTAGAATTTATTACACAGCGCGTCATATTAAGTAGGCGTCTGTCTGAATCATACGTGTATCCCACTAGGCAATATTTCGACAAAAATTGATTAAGCCCAACCCTTTCCAACTGAACATAATCAAATGAAATGGGATGAAATTGACTCTCCGAAACGCTTTCCAGGCGTTTGGATATGATTGAATATTTCGCTGTATGTACGTGCGTGTGTGTGTGCGTACTTTTGTCGCTGTATGGCGGGATATTTTTATTGCAATTTACTATGAACGTCATTTGTAAAATGGTCAAAAGCAGTTTGCGCAAAAACAAAAATGAACAGAAAAATTCAAGTTTATGTTGATAGCACTTGTAACGCACACGCACTTTCCTTAATTAATTGATTGATAAAAAAAATGAATTTATAGCGCAACGGAACGCTTTTCATGTAATTGGATTGAGAAATATATCAAAGTAATTTTGATTAAAACATCACAAACGGTACACCATAGAATAGACTTTATACGATGTTCAATTCTTTATAAATTATTTTTATACATTCTATTATTTTTTTTTAACCAAGATAATGTGAACTTCTTGCTCTTAAGTGTACCAACGAGTAATTTGTGACAAAATATGGCCAGCGCTCTTGGCACAACGCCGTGAGAAGGGCTTTGTGCAAATTGTTAAATCGAAATTTGTAAAAATACAATTTCAAATTTAATCAGTTATGTAAATTGAGTAACTACATTATATATAGCAATCAGAAACGCATCGAATAGATGCAAAATACACCCAGATCCCAGTTTTCCGTAATTGTCACTAATAAACAATAACGCGTCCACTCTCGAAAGCTTCACGAATCAATTGTGATTCGACAACGATTCCGGCGGCCATTTAATTTAATAAACTGTCAAAAAGCCGTCGAGGCCGGTTACTGTTTACAAATAGACCGGACATAGGTTTCCCGCCTTGGTTACCCCACGGGGCGACGCGCCGCTTCGCGCCCCCTATGATGAATTCACCTTTTATTTGTCCCACTTGACTCGATTGAGAGTGATTTTTGAGCGTGAATGGGCAGTCTGCGTAATTTGCCGCTGACAGGATGAAATATACATTGAAAGCTATAAAGGACTCGGACCAAACTCAATCAGGGTCGCGCCGCCATTTGATTGTATTGCTTCGACGCTGTCGTACGCAATCATTGTGTTTTTTTTTAAAACATTTGGTAATGGTCAGCTGTCACTCACACGTTAGTACAAAGTTAGTTCTCGCATGGTTCTGTCGTAATAAGAGAAATGTTTTTCTACTTACGGCTTAAACAAAATATGAAACATTCACTATTAACATATATAATGGACGTTAAAGCGACAATCTAAAAAGCAAAACGCCTCCAATCACAATTTGCATTAATCAAAGTTTCAGGATTGAAACTTACACCGGCAATATTTGTCGTACAACAAAACTTCGCACAATCTTACCGTAACATTTGAGCGGTGCCCCTTACGAATAGTTAGTTAGACAATAAATTGTTTAATAACCCCTCGGTGGTGGGTCCCGACCTGTGCACTTAATCAAGGAATGTATTCGACGGAATCACCTCTTTGGAAACAATTAAATTGGTCTCGATTGTGGCTGTTGCACTTTAGCGACGTATACGTTCAACTTAATGGCACAACCAACACTTGGAATAGTTTATTTCAATTGAATTTAACAATTAAGACAATAATATTACCAATAATCTCTTACGGAAATTTCTTTCTTATGATTGTCGAAGAATATAATTTTACTTTTACGATTTTATAGTATTGCAATAGACAATTAGGTGTATTTGTACAGTAATACATATTTCAGCAAGACAAGAATTAATTATAATAGATTATTTCGCAAAGTAAGTCGATTCCAATTATAACTGTTTATAAACACATCCTTCCATTTTAGATCCGTGTTTAGTTTAACCATAAATGATCATTCATAATAAAATACATTCGCAATCATAAAGCCCATACTTTATGTAAAACAGAATAATTGATGCAGAAGGGTTGAGTTGTAAATCACGCAAATACGCAATAGATTATTTGGGTATCTCCTTACAACATAAAAGAGACAGTGGCGAAGCGACTTCGAATCCCCACAAGTGAGTTTATCTCGAGAGCAGAAGCACTCGCGTTACAAAGCGAAACGTGCAAGACCCATCTGTAATTATTCGTGTCGGTTGACCGACGGTGGCCGGCGTCTGGTCATTGTCGGGCTTTGCCACTCGTAACTAAGTCGGCCCCCGTTACTCAGTCGAAGCATCGCGGTTGATTATAGGCGACATTGCATTTCGAGAAAAAACAGGATTCTGGCGCGTTTTTGCACCAGGCCGTGAATTAGGTGCACATAACGAGCCGCCTCGTCAGCACCTTGTTTGCAATGCGCGTCGAGGTGTGCACGTTTTTGCATTACTATCTAAACGCAACTTGCAGATAATAAACCCCGTAACAATGCGAAGGTACGGAAAGTTCGTCCGCAGGGGTCGAACTGCTTCTAAGGCAACTTGGCTAAGTAAGCGGTAGTTTGAAGGATTTCTGGCCACTTCTATTGTGGTATTAAATGTCTAGTTTCGTACCGTGCAGCTAAGTTTCAGTTCTACAGTTAAACAACTGCTATCATATGTGTGAGTTGAACGATTAATCACCTGTTTGTCAATGATATATTTTATTTTCAATTAAGGAAAAGACAATAATTAAACGTTTAACAGCTAAAGTCGAAATGGTCTATCAATCAAAGGTGGCTTTTCCATGCGCTCCGTATCTGCGAACTTTTAATTTCTCTCCTGAACAAAATGCGAGAAGGGGTGGCCCATTTGATGTCCAGGGTCGGCGAAGTTCGAAAGCTTTATTACTGTGTCCGGCTTTAAGTGGGTGTAAAGTTTCAACACCCTTTGATTTACTTGCAGTATGGGAAATAGGTATCGGGATAGACGGAATGAATTTGTATCAGCTTTGTCTTTTGCTCCCCTTCATTGTCAATTGTTTTAATTAAAATTCAACGCGCGACAGCCCAAACGTACACACGCTATTTATCAAAGATAAAGGGACTCCACTGATGATGCTCCGAAATATTGCTACCGGGGGAAATTGGGGAATGCGAACCGCATAATGGGCACCGCAATTATTTCGCTAATGCCTTAAAAGGACCACCTTAATCCCCTAATCGGAAGCCAAACTAACGTGGCGCCGCTCCGCATAGAAATATCTTAAATTGGTAACACGGTCCGCCGGGCCGGCCATAAAACATCTTAATGAGTGCAGCCAACAGCTGCGGGGGCCCATATTGCGCTCATATCCATGCAAAGTACCCACCGGCGACGTCTTAGCCGCCGTACTTTCCGGCTCCTTGTTTACAAGTCGACAACTAATTTGTTGCAATATGTGCATAGGACAACGTTACCGCCACTATCTCCTCAGCGCGTGTCTCGCATACACTTAGCGAGCCGCACTACTCCGGTGTTTTGCCACAACCTGACCCTACACACACCCTCCCGTATTTAAATTCGACCCGGACCGTCCATTTGGACACGGATTTGTTATAAGATTAAAGGAAGATTTCAACTTGCGAAACAATATGGCAGACAATTTACATATTTCGTTTCCTTATTAGTTTCGGGATATTTGTTTTGGGGCCGGCGAATTTACATCCACTGACCGATTAAATGGCCCTTAGGCGTCTTTAATGGGGGTGCCGCGTGGTCGTTGTTGGCCTTAGCAAATGTGTGCTTATGCGTAATTGAATATTTTATGGGCCGGAGTGAATTTAGTGCGGAAACTTTATTGATTTCTAGTTCCTCGACGCTTCGTTGGATTCGTCCACGCTAAATTTTTGCGCTCGAATGAATGCCCAGTTGGAGTACTTGTTTTTCCATTACGGAAAGTCAACATTGGCTCATGTGAAACGCATTTACAGTTCTCCACTTGTGTTTGTCATTTGCATTTGTGTGTTGACTGTTTTTATTCCACGGTTGACATTTACCCTCCGTCCCGTCAGTGCCGCCGCGACCCCCAACGAGTTTCTTTCATTCGCCGCACGAGTGCTAGCGTTGCATTACCTCCATTCAAGACGAGATAGCTTCACTTAGTTTCCTCTTTTTCATTGCGGACGGGTTAATTTCTGCATCTTTATTATTCGAGTGGCCAGTATACGGGAGCGGTGTAGTCTGGCAGCGTAGATTGTGCGGCGGAGGGCAAACTTGAATTGTTGGGTCGCATGTGGTAATGAACGCACGGGTGGGACTTGCTGCGCCGTGCTGGAGGCGTTTGGTTGGAGCGAGAGGCACGCTGGTGGAGAGGGGTGGGGTGGGCACCTGGCGCGGGGGGCGGGGGTGATTGCAGCGCGTCCTGAATGCACAACGCTTCCGCATTCGTTAAAGCAAAAGCGGGCGCGCTCTTCAGGTGTACATTTTCAGCGCTTGTGTGCTTTACGCCCGCGTCGCTTTACGTGCGTCTTTGTGCGGCGCTGAGCCTTAATTATTATTACATTTTGTCTCATCTCGACGTTTATTATACGTCTATGCATGCGGAATCTTCCCCGACACTTACAAAGATCGTTATCGAGGGGTATAGAGTATCGGCATCTCAAATCGGTTTCGGATTTAATTAATTTGGTATTCGTTTTTTTAAATATTGACTCTATTCTCATATTCCGTGCCATTATGCGTGTAACCGAGCGAAAGTATTATCGCGGCGCATCTTTCTCCCTCCCACTTTGCTGTGAAGCAAAAAAAATAACCAGAGGCTTAACAATTCATTATTGCGTTCGTTTATTTCGGCTTCATTAAAATCGCATTAGGATTAATTTTTCTCGTCCCCATTTTAATTCGCAGTTTGCTGAAGGGATCTTTCGCCGGACGGCTGCAATCAGCCATTGTCAATATTTGTATAATTTTTTTTTACCTGCGACCGCGTTTTTGGAACTTAACTCTGGGCGGAGAACAAGAGGATTTTGATATGGAAATATTAAATTAGCTATATGAATGTTACTCTCTTTTGGATTTTTTTTAAGATCTCTGTCGTCGTTCGTAATTTATACTTCTAATACAGGTTCGAATTCCAATAGTGAGCACCAACAACCTTACGGTCTCTTAGAGTTCTTCCGTACGAAAATCATAAATGTAACCAGTATCCAGTATCCACATGCTTACCTCATTAGGATTAGTAATTTGAGAGGTTTTTAAACTAAATTTACTAAGGCTATCTGAAATCAAAGTTTTATTAACCAACAAAATGGTAGACTCAAGATCAAAATTAAAATGTGATTTTTTGTAAACATATCTACATTATGATAAATCGTAAAAATTTTCGGCACTGCGGGTTTTGAGGGCGTCCTGGGGCGCGTTACCGGATTTCATAAGTTCGAAACCCGGGGCGCAGAATTTGTTTATCTATTCATATACAAAAATTTACATTCCAAAAGATTAGCCAGAAAGTTATTACTCTCGACATGTGAATGCTATAAATATCTTAATTTTTAAGGATTGCGTTATATGAACTTATTAAAGAAACATTTCCAACTTTGAAACAACTTTTTAATTAATTTCATTTCCGATTATTCGTTACTAGCTGCTGCCCGCGACTACCGTCTGCGTAGAATAGGCTGAAGGCGTAACATTCGGACAGGAAGACAGATATACGTAAAATATGTTTATAATTTATAACCTAGGTCTTATTCTGATGTATAAGCTATATTATTGCAAAGATTCATTAAAATCCATTGAGTAGTATTTGCGTGAAAGAGTAACAAACATTCATCGATACATACAAATTTTCTCATTAATAATATTAGTATGGATTACGTACTTTGTCAAATAATCACACAAGTCAATCACACATAAGATTCATTGACACTGAACAATATCAAATATTATTGAACCCAATATCTTGTTATTTAAGCAATGAAATGACAATACTTAATTACGCAATGAAAATATTACGAACATAATTAATTCAACGATATAGTTTTAATGTAACGTCATCATTATGTTTCATATAGAGTACCATAAATAAATCGAGTCAATTAAGTTGCGCAATATAATGAAAGAGAGACAGACATAAATGTTTTACAGTGATTGCATTCGATTGTGTGTTTGTTAATAATTCAATCCCCAAACCGGAGTCGTTGAAATAGTCTAACATTATATGCTGCGTTATATTTATAGGTTATATTAAAACAGTTTATAGTAAACCATTCATATTTAATTATACCTAGGGGACAATTAGCTTTTTTTATGCATATGGTCCTATGAAATTCCGAAAAAAAAACCATCGATAATATCGAAAGTTATAGATAACAAATTATGTCATAGTGACATAATTTCATTTAATCGGATACAGACTATTTTCAGTATCCGTTATTTCTTATAAGACGTTATAAACATAAAAACAACACAAACCTCGCCTAGCGCGTCGCACCAAACAGACGGACGTAAATCGATATTTTTCTCGAAACGCTGCACCGAAGCCTCACGATATCGCCATTCGCACGCAACGCGGGCCCCCGACGGCCGATATCTACAATATTATTAATTCAGGCATATTAATAATGGTGTCGCGTTACGACCACACTGTCGCAGGAAGCATGCCCCGCTGAGCCATTCCGACGAAAATAATCCCTGGACGATTCGGCCGTTTCATTAGCGATCGGACGTTTCATTTGAGACACACTATACCTTAAAGGGGACCTTTATCGGATTTGCGCGCCGTGCTACCGACGGCTGTACCGTCAAAAATGTCACCCGTAGTGTTGATAATCGATGAGTTCTGTCTTTAATTGATCTGCCTTTATACATTTTGTAGTAAGGTACGAGTATGTAATGAGCCAAAATTGACATTTTACGCTCATTATTTATTAGTTGCTCGTAAGAACCTCGTCGGATACCGGAAGGTTTCCATTGATGAAATTTTTGGAACAAATCGTCTTAATTAAATCGTACTAAGACGCTAATCTTTTCATTTTAATGGCCTTTATGAAAGCTTATGATAAATCTTTCATTATTATCACAATTAAATAAGATCTTCATTATATACATAATATTCTTAAAAATTGGATAACCCTATGAAAGTTCCAGTTCTTCATGCCTTCTGCTAATTAAAAATCGATACGTAACAGACAAAAAGTAAACAAAAGAACAATCTTTGTTCGGCCGTATCGTATATTGCTCATTTCTTCGTATTTACGGATCCCAATAAATTTAAAAATAAAACGTGGAGTGTTTAGAGGGCGTAATCAATATTTTTACAAGCAATAAAGTTTGATCCACTCCCGAAATTCGCGCCAAACGTGACAGCCTGCGTCAAGGGACGCACGAAACGTAATCATCGTTAACCGGACTCTCTTGTGTTAGGTTTACGGTTCACTTTTACAGCGTCACGTCCAAAATTCTAGAACTTTCTCCACGTTCGAAGCCTACTGAATCGAAAATATTTCGAATTAAAGATTTGGTTTTAAAACAAGACAGAGTATACAAAATATATTTATTTTTTCTACAGGAAAAATTTGCTGTGAAGCGGTGAAATTAAAGCCATTGAAATAGATAAAATTTCAAAATAGTTTATATAATCAAATTATTTAATTTTCGAATCTCTGCTTGGCAAGTAATCGAATTCACCTTTTTATTAGAACACCTAACAATAAAATGTCGTATTGAAACCGTGAACTTAATCTATTTGGTCAACATTTAAAATAACATCGAATAAGCTACAAGTGCATTTAAAAAGAAACGAAGTTTTTTTTGTTTCACGATCCGTAAGTCAGTAGCGTCGATACGCTTATAATAACCGGTAGAATGGTAACTATAAAGAGAGATTGCGTTTTTTACTAACGTCGTCAACAGATCGTTTCGATAAAAGCCTCCGCAATTCCTCTCTCCTTCCTATTTTTTTCATAACAACAATATCTCCGCTTTATTATGATTGCGAATGGTGAACAACGCGGAGGAATGCTGTATTGGGACTGAGGCACGTTATTGTCTATAACATTTTCTAGTATTTCTTTGTCTGCGTAGCGCTGTTTGTAACTTTTATTTCACTACATTTAGAAAGATTTGAGCCTGGTTAGTAGTCTGTAATGCAATAAGGCATTTCTTGTCAAAAGATCATTAATCTGGACGGTACTTTTAACACACATTAAAGATTATTTAATTTTTTATTAAAGAATTATCAAAAGTACAATTATAATTGTATAACTACAAGAACTACAATAGCATCACATAATACAGTATAACTACAACCAACCATCTAACTATTAATCTTTCTTCGTCGTCTATATATCGTCATCTTCATTTCCTATATTAACTATAGTACACAAATTCAGAGAACATCAAAAACATTTGCAAGTGAAAAGATTAACTCCAGTGGACTAGACAACACTATATACGGCAGTTCACGGTGAAGGTCACTCATGGCTCATAACTTAAGGCCCCCATTCGTCCGACAGGAACAATAATCCGAGCAATTTTAAGGAAAACGTTTATCGCCGGGTCCACTCGCCCCATAAATATCGCGCCCACAAAAATAAAACAGAGGAAATAGATAAAATGAGCCTAAGCTACTGTCAACGGGCTTATATCGGTGCATCTTCCATAGTTTGGGGGAGTTGTTTACTTCAGTGTTGTTGTATAACAGTTTGTTATCATTTAAAAGCTAACGACGAAATGCCGTCCTATGTGATACAGAATATTCTTTAAAAAGCTAATAACTCAAGCGTATGATATAATTTTTTTGTACACAATTATTGAATGGGTGAAAAGTATCTATCTCATCTTTCTCTTCTGAGTTGTACGGTTGTTCAAATTTGTAGTTGTACTTTAATAAAACGTTAAATTACCAAAAACACGTAGAACGTTACTTATGCATCATTTAACTCCGATTAAAAGTTAATGATGACGTGATAGAATTCGATCGAGTATGACAAACGTAAATTCATCATCGCATGGATAGAATCTCTTCTCTCAATCAAAATACGTATCTCGTCTAACACCGCCTCGTCATCTCTCAATCGACTTTGTCCCTCCGTCTGAACATACGCTCAGATAACTGACACATCTTATCTTTAGAACATTATTTCATACACAACTATCGGAAAGCCATTTGAACTGCGTCTGATTTTATTCTAGGCAATTTATTTTCAATAAAGAACTATAAAAAAGACTTATCTAAACGGCGCGGGTGCGACTTGGAAGGGGAGGCGGCTGTCGTAAATGTCGAATCATATTTACGTTTTATTGAACAACTGAGAGGAATCTCTAAAGCGTCGGGTGACGCGATTCATTAGTTATCTCTATCTGCGTAATGTTTTCTACTAAGTAATTTTCAAGCGTATTGTGCACATTTTATATTAAAAGTTATTAAATTTATTAATTGAAATCTGCCATTAGAATAAATACTGGAAATAAACTTGGGATAGAATTGAAATGTGAAAAAAATTCTTCAAAAGAAATTTTACTACACTTGTACCACACAACTGCTAATCAACCAGGGTTTGATACACTTTGTGAAACAACAATGTAATAGTATGGCAAAAATAATCGAACGTAAAAATTCATCTCTCCTTTCAATATTGATACAAAGAAAACGAGTCGTTACGCCTTAGAGCGAAAACGAAACTCCTTTCGTACGAAGTACCTATAAAATTATCAACACTAAAAACGGCAATTTGAATGTTTTCACTGTTATCTCGGCGTCCATCGAAGCACGAAGGTATCAACCAATCATCTATAATTTATCCGCGGAGACATCCATTGCGGAGCAAGCGGAATGCTTATTACTTTAACTTACCATAAAACCCCCGTTCAGGAACAGACTAACATGGTTTGTTTTTTCATATAATTTCCTAGTCACATTAGAGGGATCGGAATTTAAATTTGTACAAGCACACGCTCTCATTTACATGTTATTCGGGCTACGGACCCTAGGGGACCGCGGCAGCCATTTATGAGCTGAAAGTATTAAAGAAACAGAACTGGATATGTATAAAAGATAGATGTTGTAATAAGAAAAAGGAGCGCGCAGGGAAACCGCTCGCGGCGAATATGCCCGCGGAAGGCGCCATTGTTCCGCGACTTTCTAAAAACGCACCGAAACGAACGAGGGGAAGGAAATCGGATGAAAATATGAAAAGAATACACGTTGTATAATCGTACGTAGACGCGAAACGGAACGCCGGAGATCGGGTCTCCGCGGCGGTCGGCAAATATAATTTGCATAGTCAAGTAGTCTCAACTTTTGTCTGCGGCGGATGCTCGGTACCATATTCGTTGGTCGCTTTTAACCGCACGCCCATTCCGTATCGGGCCAGACTTTTTATTGCATTTTTTCCCCCCTTTGAATGGATTCCTTCAATATTTCGGTGGTTCGTTTTTATTCATACGCTCCGGTCATCGAATTGTTTCGCTTCATTTCGCACGCTTTGAGTTCTGTTGCATTGCTATCGTGTTGTATATTACCTTTTTCCTATTGCCTATCGTATTGCGTTCTTCGAAATGGATCTACGATCACTTTAAATATCGTTTTTGTATTTTGTATAACTAATGTTACGCTCTCAGTCCTTAGACAATAAAAACTTCATCGAACGCAGAACCGGTGGGCTAGCCAGAACCCACGGGTTTGAGATATCGAAATGCACTGCGTTATATATTTTATTTATTTTATCATAATTTCATAGAAAGAACACATCAACTAACTTTTAATGAGTGTGAAATTGACGTGCCTAATTAAAAGTAACTTAAAGGGAACAATGGGACGATTAACACAACTCAAAGGCGAGTTCTAGTGCCTCGAAATTGGAAGTATTGCCGGACACAAAGGGCCCATCTCTTTGTTCCGGCAGCCTCCCTTTGATGGAGCGATACGAAATCGACCGGGAATTGTTACGATTCATCTTCGGCCACGGGCACACGAGTGTGGAAGCCTCACCCCGGATTATAGAGCACAAAGCCGACCGACAATCCATCGACAAATATTGACTCGGAGAAACAATGGCCGCAACGAAGCTCCCGCCGCTTTGTACCTGATAAAACGTCAATTGCCGAAGTTTTTATGGGCCCCATTCAAGGGCTTACGTAATAAAAAAGGCCGTTCAATAAATTGTACTTATCACTCGGATTCGAATATTAGTTGAGGAGGAATGATTTTTCTCATTTTTAAATACACTGAGAAATTTTAATTAAATTACTTCGAAAACGAGTCACCTAAATGCCTGCGATATTATCGTTTATTACAAACATTGCCCGGACAAACCAGCCGGTGCAGCAACAGGTTCCGGCTAATTGATGATCAAGAAAGCGTTAATACACATAGAGAGATGAAAGGTCCAAAAATAAGCGTCAACGGAGTGAAAAGCCGATTTTCAGAGGTGTTGGACTGATTCGATGCTCAGACTCGTCCGTCCGATGAATTTTCCACCGGCTGAGTCTTCAGTCGCCAGCCGCTGAATTTACGACTGATTACCTGAAAACGACCTTAGCATCCTAATTAATGAACGGGTATTTTAAACGTAACATCGTCGGAAATTTCAATATCAAACGGATGATTGTATAGACTAGACGAATCGAAATAACACGATAACATGCCACATTGTCATTCAATTTGTTTTATATTGTGTATTCAATATCAAACATTAGATATAACATAACCACTAAACTGCCCTGGAGAATTGAAGTTAATTACTTTGAAATATTCGTTTGCTGCTTACGAGAACAATATGAAATAAAAAGACTATTTAGGGCTGCTAATTCATTATGTGCCAGACTTGAAGATGCACGATGACAAATGATGCGTGGGAGTTCGTCGCGGCGATCCCGCGGCTTTCATTAACCCACGCTCATTAACCAGTAATATTTTAATGAGAAAATCGCAAACATTCTATCTATTCTCATCCGAACAGTTTGAAGTGGAATATATAATTATACGCCTTATTCTTCACGGTGTTGCAGCTGACTTAAGACCTGTTCCATGGCGACAGTGACAAAACCCAAGTGTTAAAATAACTTAAAATGTGAATCGATGACTATTCATGCTTACGTCACTTAATTTGTTAAAATCGGAAATAGATACAACGGAAATAGATACAACGTTTCCGCCAACTTTGAAACAGTCTGCCGCAACCTGAAATTAAACTAGAATTATTTTGTACCTAAGAAAATAATGTAGTCGGAATATTGTGTGTAATTTTTAAATTTTATAAGATTTAAAGGTCAGTTATTAAAGGTTATATTTGTAACAGTAGCTCAATCTTTAGCATAAAATTAAGTGTGCCCAAAGTTTATGATTGTGTATGAATAGCGATATAGGAATATTACTATATCAATATTATAATATTTGAACTGAATTTATAATAAGGCTGAATAAATAAGAACAGACGACTAGCAAACAAATCAATGTGGGTCAACCACAAAATAATATACACAATATACTATTACTGATTTTTTTCAAGAAATAGTTTTATAAAATATAGTAATACTAATAATAATATATACTATTTCTTTTTTATGAAATCAAAGTCATTAAAAAATCAAGTTAAAAATTTGTATTATAATGATAAAATATATGATGGCACGTTAACTATATGATTTTAATTCCGCAGTTTTTATTCACTTATCTGATAATCAATTTCGTTTTTGTAAGTTAACAATAAATTGCTTATAATAATAGTCACGTTGTTATTAAATGAAGTGCAAAATAATTCTATACAATCGAGCATAATTATTTTCAGTTTATTTAATGAACACATATATGAATATAACAGCATATCCGGTACATGTTCTGGATATTTTTTTATAAAGCTTTGAAAACATAAAGCGGGCTTATACAACATACGTTTTATCACATTTCCTTTCGATGCAATGTCAGATATAGACTTGTTTTAAAATTAGAATTTCCTTTAACGGCTCGAGTCTTATCGCCGTAGAGCTGGCGGGAGATAATCTCGTCTAGATGCCTCGCCCCTGCCGCCCTATCGGAGGCAGGGCCTTGCCTCAATCGGCACTTGCAGCGACTCAATCATTCGTCAATCGTACACTTGGAGGAAAAAGATGGAGATATCGGAGCGTCATTCACGCGAATGAGAAACTCTCGAACGCGGATCGGGCGATTATCGACGGAGCAGTGCCAAAAGGAAACGCGGCGAATGTGTAAAGTGCCTGTCTGAGGCTGTGCTTTGTCACAGGAGCGAGATAGACGTCTGATGTTCGAGTTTGCTGCGAGTACGCTGTTCGAACATTCATGGTCCGCTCGAAGGAACATGGCGCACGAACTACGGGTGTAGCCATTTATTTAGTCCGTGTTTTGTTTTGCCATGCGTGCCGGCATTCCGAGTAATTGTTGTTTCGATACGGTGCGGACGCGGGCTGAACTTCGCCGCCTCCATTAATATTTATGATATGTTGTTTATCGAAATAAACGATAGCATTTACAAGCACGAGCTATGTATAATAAAAGCTATAATAGTTGAAATAGTTAAAGGAGCTAAACTAAATATATTCACTGTAAATTATCAATAATTGTTATAGTGCTAAATCAAATTGAATCAATTTCTTTTTTAGCGCTCCACCTCCTTCAGTTTAAAAACAATCATATAATAATAACTTTAACTTTTTACAGATGTAATATATTATGTAATACTTTCTGATTGTGTTTTATTTTTATAAAAACGGCATTAAATTAAACGGCAAAATTAATATAAGTAATTTACTTATAAGTCTAAATATTTACATCACTAAAACATTGCATTTTACTAAAACATATACTAGGTATCACCTGTGCACTATATAATTAATTACTTATTTATAATTATTATAATTACTTATAATCGACCAAAATGACCTGAATCAATATCAAATAGTAGGTAGCCTTTATTAAAATTTTTCTTTTTTCTCTGTTTCTCTAGTCATGTACCAAAAGCGGCTAAAGAAGGAACGGAAGCAACGCCAGCAAATCCAAGAGCAACTGGAGAACGAACTGAAAAGGCGACAGAAGATTGAGGAAGCACTTAAACAGTCTGGTGCACCAGCAGAAATTCTCAGAATTGTAACTGGTCAGTAGTTCATATTGTGATATCTGCAAACAACAATCATTCCCATATTGCTTAAGTTCACACACCAACTCAAAAGGTATAATAACTTTTTCAAATTTACAGTCACTTCAGTAAAGAATCGATATTTTTTCATTAATTTAATACGTCCAATTAGTTTCCAGATACAAAGCAAGCTTGCTAATTATATCTCTGTTTAAGTTTATATCGCTCAATAAATTCTAAACAATAAAACAGAATCGTAAATCAATACTCTCAGCAATACAAAGTAACCAGTTGCTAGAAATTCGTTAAACATCAAGTCATCCAATGAATCTATGTAATCACATCAGACTTCAACAAATATCAACAAAGTACTGAGTAGTGTTACTGACATGTTAACTCACCGTCTGTCGAACTATCTGTGTGACGGCTAAAACTTCGTCACGATGCCGACGAAAGGTCGTATGTCACTTCGCATTTGGCATTCCAATTTCTACTGTAACTGCACATGTGGAGGTTTGTTTTGCTGGACCGATGATTGATATGTGCCTCCATGGCATCGCAACGTGCGGAGTGCGTGACGTAAGAAGGGTGCTGAACGCTTGCGAAGGCTTGTACTAATCCCCGTGTCAGGAAATCGTTTCGCAGTCCATTTGAAACGGGGGTTCGATTGCTGATCTAACACGCGCTCGAGCTCGATTTCTTGTGTAATCGCCGTTTATTAGTCGATGTATTGATTAAATGTACATACGAAACTTTAACATGGGGAAACTTCTAACCTTCGAAAGCCAGCACTTCCGTGTTCACCTTTTAGTACTTTAACGCCTATAATGACCATCGCGGAGTTCGACACACTGTAGGCAAGTCAAACTCCTTAATCTGTGGCAGGGCCATGCAATAGTGTTCGCTGTTGCACGAATGGGCAGGTCCCTCGGGATAAGTACCACGACCTCACAGAAGACCGACGTAAAGTGAAGTGTTATACTTCAGCGTTTCGTCTGGTGACTGAGGTAGCCAGGGCCCACTTTTCTAAAAGGTGGCAACGCATCTGCAACGCTACGGGTGCTGCAAATGTCCATGGGCGGCGGATCACTCAACATCAAGTGAACCTCCAGCTCGTTTGCCACCTTCTCACATAAAAAAATAACTATTTTTATTTTGTATTATTTCTTTGACTATCTTGGTAACACTGATGAGTCAAAATACCCCTGGTCGCCTTCGCAGTTGAGCTGTTATTGTCGTCTTGCTGGACCCTCATTATTGGGTCTGGTTAGTTTTACTTACACCTACCCGCTAGTCGCTTCACCAGACGGGATGGTTTCAAAACAAAAGACAATACAACAGCAATGACCCCAGATTAAAGAGCCCCTCGCTCCGTAGAGAACATGAGCCCTGCGGCCCACGAGGCCCGTTCCGAGCGCGAGAACGGTTCAGAGAGCAAGCCACCAAGCGCCGAGCCGCCGCCAGCGTCGCCGCCGTTCTCGCGTGAACCGCCCCGCACGCCCGACAAGCCGCAATGGAGCTACCCCCCACCACCCGTGGACATCATGCCCGGGGGAGCGGCCTTCTGGCAGAACTACTCCGGTAAGAATCACAGTCACCAATATTTATAGTGTTGTTTAATTCTTAATTTTGGTCCTAGTCTCTGCACGTGGCACTTTAAAATGAGTAGAATAAAACTGACGCAAAATCAAGGAAGAGACGAGAAAAATTTTGCGACTTTTTTATCTAAACATTTTACATAATCATAGTGAACAAGTTCTTGCGTCTTCTAAACTCAGTAAGGTTCATACTGATAGTTACTATTTCATCCTTAACCGGGTTTATTGATCCCAAACGGATAGCGAGCAATGTTGCCATATAGAGGGCGCAATCTCGGACAGTGGTTTTTGCACGTAAGAAATCCGGTAAATGGAAAATGGTTAAGCTTCCTGCCCCTGGGGCGTCACTGCCAACAGAAGTTTTGGGTGTGATGACCAATAACTATTGTAAATGTGACTATCTGGAATCAGATTACGTTTGTTTCATATAAATGTCTGAATAATCTTTGATACAATATCTAGGCGCAAACAACAAAAATTTAAAGTTAGATATTTTAAACACAGTAGGCAATAGAGGAGGCCAAAAAATTTGTTTAATTGTTTCTCAAATTCAATGCAATTTATGAACAAAACTCTGCTTAAATACATCATAAATTAACAACTCAATACTACGTGTATTGAGTTGTTGTATACTCTCCAATTCCACCAACCACAATGTATAATATCATACATATTCTCGCTACAAATCTACCAGACCTACATTCATTGTGCAGCAGCTTTTATCAAATTAAAAGAATCAAAAAATGTTATTGATCCGCAATGTGGAGGAGGGTCCAGAAAATATAAGAAAAAAAAATTGACATGTGAAATTTATACTCGTCATATTACATACCATTGCGCATTGAGAATGTCAAATATTTTTAAAAGCACAGAATGAACGTTACACGCGTTCCCGGGTTTTGTTATTATTTTACGTTGGGGGAGATTTGAAAATCGAAGTGCGTTTCGGCATCGTCAGATAGGCTTCTTTACGAAACAAAACTTCTCTACATTTTCTATTCCGATTAGGAATAAAATTGTTATAACAACACGTAAAATTCCAGATAAATGACTAAAGTTAATAAAGGAATTTCCCTCTGATAGAAAAAAAGAATGACCCACGTGTTCTGTGTCTGATGCAGTTTTTTCATTCATCCGCTTTGTGGAAAGCCTAGAAATTTCATTAAAAATGCACCGAGCCTCTGAACTTTGAAATACTATTCTGTGCCTTGCATTCCGTGTGAAGCGAATTTTTGCGTACTTGTCTCCTCTTTCAGTATTTTTTTCTACACAGTTAAAGGCTGTAAAAATCATTAATACCGTTAAAAGTTTTGGAAAAGTTTGACCATTTTTACTGGTTTACCTGTCTATGGGTCCTGAACCCATATTTTAAATAATGAATATTTATATTGGCCTTCTAGTATATGATCGGATATACCTACGACAAATATAATTTACGCTTTGGCCTTCTAATACCCAGCTATTTGACACTGTTTCCATTCTATCTGTTTAGTGTTGATGCTTTGATAGAAACGGTGACGGGCCTACCACCTGTAACTAGCAACAATATATCCTCCAGCGATTAGCATCGAGGAAATGCACGATGAAGTTCCAATAAAATTTGAACAATAAAACCCAACAACGACGTCATAAGCCATACCCCCAAACGCTTCCCGCTCTTCGCAACGAGTGGCTTTTACCGACGGAGTGCTTTTCAAACAGAAATTGCAACTAATTTAAGTGTTTCCCGGCTCCGGGTATTCACCACACGCGAACACGCGAGTGCGAAAGAATGAATTCAACGTGCACAGATATCGCGAGGAATGCAACTGGCAGGCAACATCTATTTTCATAGTCCGTTTGGACTATTAAAATTGTTCCTACGTCATTGACATAAAATGGGGTAAAGAATGTTATAATTACTCTTTATATCAAAAGTGTATAAAATCGATCAGTCATCGTACAATTTATAAATCCAAATATAAGTATGGTTACGAATACAAATGAACAAAGTAATAGGAATTTATCGAAGAAAAAAATTTGTTACGTCCTGTGTAGAAAAAAAGACAAAATTGCAATATTTCCAAGCAAAACATGTTTCCTTGTTCGTAAATTAGAAAACTTTGCAAGTTCCTTAAAAGGAACGAAGAGTAGGAAGTGGAATTTTACCTTTTATACCGCTGAATTCCGTTTTAGAAATCATAGGATAAATGTATTGTATTTTTTATGAATATGTACTGTAAATTGTTTAAAACCCAATTTATTTCAAATTTTGACTTTCTTTACTTCCATACGTAACCGAAATGTAACCCATGTATCAACCATGTTCATTATTTAATTTTTTGTGTAGTCAAACATTAAGACTCGAAATGAGTGTTGTGAAATTCGCCTTTCAAATAATCTTATATATACTCGTATGTAAGAAATATGCTATTTATTTCTCAAGGCAGTTTTAGTCTTGTAGAATGTCACACTTGCGATTATAATATTGCTTTGAGTGGCGATCTCCACTCAGTACTGGTTTTACATAAATCCAATAAAACGCGAAATACATAAATTCAATACAACGCGAAACAGCCACCTTTACCATAAGAAACTGGGCCGAAAGTTTGAAATGTATTTCAGCCGCGCGGTTGAAACGAATAAAGCTACTGACGTTAAGTAATACGAAGTTGAAAAATTAATAAAGAAACTTCACCCAGCCACATTTTAGGTGCGCTTGTAAAATGAATGGAAACAAAAATTGTACCGCACAGGTGCGCCCCGAAGCCTTTGACGATATTAACTTTTTGTTTATACTGAAGACATTGCGTCGTACCAAGTGATTTCATGCACTCGCCGCCAGCCGAGGTTACTCGTATACTTTACCAGCCATTGCTCAAGTAGTGGGTACCAACACTTTGGAATATAATTAAAGAAACGCGAGCAATAATTCAGTTTTTTCGTCTCAACGCCGACACAAGGATGACTTTACTGTATCGACACAAAAACTCACTCCCGGTTGTTTTGACTAAAAGAGTAAACCATTTTAAATGCACCTTATCGTCGTCACGAAGAAATTGAATCTCTGAAAAAAAAGGCCATCGAGGAGAAATTCCGTAATGGGAATTCAATTCAATCAATGCGATTGGACACGCTTTAACGCGATGGCCGCAGTAGCGTCCACTGCGCGCCCTCTGCCCGTTCAATGTTTACAGTTTTGGTGATTAAAGCCGTTTGCTCTTCCTCACAGATCCCGCGACCTACCTATTCTGCCTAACCGCCCCTTTGCTATCAACAGTCTCGAATGTCCCGGTAAAGAACTTTTTTTTTTCTAACAAAATATTTCATAGCTTTAATTAATTCGGCGCTGAAAATTAACGGAGGTGTCGGTTGCATGGTGGTTTTTTAAAAAATAATGAGACCCGCTTTCCGATTGTGCCGTCAAAAGGTGTTGTGTTTCAAAAAGTTATAAGTTCACGAACAAAGAGCGATTCGTGTCGGATCAATGACATTATAAATGTGTTAAATAAAAAGGCACGCTATCTGTTCGCGTCGAGTTTTTGTACGGACGATGAGAGAAACAATTTGTCTCTGGAGGCGAATAACGAAATCGTAATTTCTTGCTCGATCCTCTATTTAATTATAAAATCGATTCGTCTCTCCAGAAACTAATCGACGGGTCGGTGTGGTGAATGCTTTTTCAAGTTTTGTCTATGAAGGCCATTGTCACTATTGGAATGCCACACCTAGCTGTCATCAAACTATCGCAAGGTTAATCTGCTCAAGCGAAAAATTTTTATAATTCAATTTCATTCGTGTCAAATAAAAGTAGAAACGCACAACCACGATAATTTGATGGCGCGCAATTCGCAAACTTAGCTTGCGACGAAGGGAGACATGAAAGGCTAACTTTTTATTTAAGTTAAGCGCTCAACCATTACAGTTATTTCAAAGAACAAATAGATTATAACTCTCAAAGGAACCGGCAATTCCGTTTTAGGAGCGGCAAATGCAAAAATATTACGTATTCAAACAAACCTAATGGGACATTTAGGGGTGGCAGCCAAGTGAAACGGCAAAGGCCGAAGCTTTTAAGTGTATAATATTTAATTGTGACGCCCTAGGCGTATAATCTCGCCCGGGATAATAGGTTTCTGTTTCGGCACAACCCTCGATGGGCGACACTTGTGAGTGTGATGCCCCGGAGCCAGTCTTCGCCAAAACAAATCGGATTATAATCGAGTTTTTTTAACTAACGAATGTTTGAAGACAAATGTCCCTCTACATGATCTTCATTTTATACGCTGTTTTCGTTCGTTTTGTTTTCGATAAAATATAATTTATTCCTACAAAAAATTATAAAAGTGATTAAACTGATTTTTTCTATTTCCACTACATTGACATGCGAATATGGTTGAGGATAATAAGTATCCATTTATTTAAAACAAAACTAGGAAATAAAAGTACGTGGTCTGGTACTACACATAAAAATATGCTTACTTAATTGTAGAGCACGCGTTATTAAGCTGATTATATGAATATTAAATTACTAAAAAAATTCGCGAGTGTAGTGTATTCTTGAATGGATTACTCCATTTATGTTACACACTGCTTTATTAAACACACGGAGAATTTTATAAATCACCAAGCTCACACTTAGAGCGTAGATTGTAAACGAATATAGGGTAGGCGGAATTGAATTCCCCGTTGAGAGAATTTTCCATAAAAGTAAGCAGAAAAACGCGATTCCGATTTCTTTTATATCTCGTAAATTGCAAGAGGCGGCAAGCGTTGCATGAAATTGAATAAGCATATTTCGTAAAACGAAGACGTTTTAGGAGACAATTGCCTTACCTCATCTACTCGGGCCTCTTCACGAACTTTGTCAATTTTCTCGTAATGCCATTATTATTATTCTCCTATGCGCGTTTTCTTATTTCGGTTATAACTGAAGAAATTATATAACGTCTCTTTGTTGAAGATTAGGGTGCTTTCGCATTTTAACTTTTGCATCCAATATCGGGTATCGCTTATTTATAAGTTTAAAACATACAAAACTTGGGCACAAAACAATATGTTGAACGTAAAGAGATATCTATTTGCATTTATTTATTGGGGTTTTGAGCGAAACTTAATTGGACCGGTATAATCGTCAAATAGGTAAAAAGCTGGAAGTGACGCAACACCAACCCTTCCAGACGCAAATTAATAACAGATTACTTCGTGCCGGATAGGTTTTTACCAAAGGGCATATCGAATATTAGGTTAGAAAGTGTCGCACAGTTGCGCAGAGCGTTTGTTGTGGCTAGCTCCCCCTAAATAATATAGTGATATATATAATAAGATAATACACTCGCAAAACTCTAACTTCAGTAAAAATTATCGCAAATATTCTGTAGCATAACTGTTAATAGAAATGCTTACAAAATACGAAGTGACCGCATGTTTTGATAATCTATTTACTATGACAACTTAGATTTGTATTCTTACTCCTCATATTCTTCTGGGTGCGCGCGGCGTTTAAAAATTGTTCCGCTTTGTTTACATTATATGACTTAATTATGTAAGTGAATGTGATATATGATATAAAACATATGGTACGGAAAGAGACAGCAGTCTAAAGAATTGCAATTTTATTACACAAATTGGCGTAATTTGAGTGCCTCAGTTTCGGTGCGCTGTCAGTGTCATATCCGTTTCGTATTTGCATATAGTCATTGAACGGGTTTATTAAAACATGTCTGACATATTATTAGCGCCGATTGGACTTTTTCACAGCGGCACTAACTGCGTCCTTTGTCACCAGAATCCCTGGCACAAGAGCTGGAGATGGAGCGCAAATCCCGCCAGCAGGCCATGGAGCGCGACGTGAAGAGCCCCCTCTCGGAACGCGCCAGCTACTACAAGAACTCGGTACTGTTCAGCTCGGCCACTTAGCTGTCGGGCGCCGGGGCTGCGGACCGCCCCGACAACCAGCGCTGCGACAGGGGTGCCAACGAAACGAGGAAACCGATCATCAGCGTCAAGCCGGAGTTCAGAGAGAAATAGGCGCGCTAGGGCTGCGAACGCTTTAGACGATCCCTCGAAATACCCCTCAAGTGGACTCCGCCGCCCGCCTCGGATTCACTCCCGAACGTTCGTGTACATTGAAGCATTCATCACTTAGTTTTAGCGCGTTAAATTCGTTGTGTCAGATCTCGATGAAGTTGTACTTTTAAACTGAGATTAACTGTAAATACTGTTATGGCGTACTAAGCACGTAGATTGCGTTGTTTCAATGCGAAGTCTAAGGAAAGGTTTTTCTTCCATAGAGAAATTTGTAAATATTTTCTTTATATTTTTAGGAATGTAAGTCTTAACCGTTTTAACGACGATCCAAGTTATTTATTCGTCAACATTTAATCATTTACGAATCGTACCTTTAAACTTAAATGCCATATTTATATATAAGTATCCATCATTATTTACATATTATACATTAAAGTAGGCGAAAGCAACTTTTAACCTTTATTTGTACTTTAATTATGGATATATTTGTATCAAAATTGATTCTTTGAATGGAAGAACTGCTGGAATTGATCTAAGACTGCTTTTCGATACGATCAAAACATTTTGTCGGCTAGTCCTGTATAAATACTAAAATGCGTTTAAGTTTCTACTATTGTCTCTCCAATTTCAGTAAGTTTTGCTTTCACCAGTCAAACTGCGAAATAATGAATTAAGTGATCATGTTAAAATTATTAAAGATCATTTTTGTTTCAAGTGCGTATGTGATCAAGCGATATAATGTAATTAATTCAATTTTAGTGCAATGATTAGATGTAATTGAAACTAGTTTTACATATAAATGCATAAAAGAACGATAGTTTAAGTAATAAAATCGAAACGATTAACTTTTAAAAATTACTGTTGACTGAAAACGAAACTGGCAGCTGCGCGTGACAATGTTATTATGGTACGCGAATTACTCGACTAGAGTTTACGTCGATACTTAAAAAAAATATCCTTGTATCTCATATCCAAGATCCAATCGTTGTGCGTAGTTCTAACAATAAGTGCGGTAGTTCTTAAACATATGAATGATAGCATTATTTATATTGCTTAGTTTACGAATGGGCTTAAATGTCCGTAATAGAATAAATAAGGTTTAGACATTGTATGGAACGTAACATTGGCGCTTGGCTATTCTAATTACTTTTTATGAATGCACACATATCTCAGAAGTTTTCGCATGTACGACTTCTATGGAGGCTTTATAGCGATGTATCGAAAAGTATATCTTTACTAAAACGTCAATAGTCAAGCGCCGATCACGACGATCGCTTGATACAATTACTTTCATACATATTATCTATAATGGGTAATGAGATGTAATGAGTAAAACTTAGTTGTTACTATTAAATGTTTAGCTGAACATGTGTGGTTGTAAAAAGGGCATGAATGTTAAAATTTCATATTGTTTTCAAACCTGTATCTAAGTAATTGTGAAGTACGTTTTAGCCACTTATGAAAATTTATTGTAATTCTGGCGATACGGGCCCAGAGCCTTCATTAGCAATAGCTTTTCCTTTTGCAATTAGATTTCGAGGCTTCAATGTAAACTTACACGTTGTTTTATAGTATGCAATTCATAAATCGAGCGTTTATTATTTATTATTTCTATAATTATTATAATTAATTTACTTAAAATTGTGTGTGTGCCTTGTATCGTAGAGATTAAAAAGGAAAATCATCATTTATTGTTTTGTTGCACAACCCTACTCCTTAAGTACAACAAAAAACATAGTAGTAATATAATTAAACAATTATTCAGAAGATATGCTTTTTTAACAAGTTCACAAGGAGAACCGTTACCACCTCGTTATAGCGAAGCCACAAGACCACAGATAATTAAGGAATCCCAATGCTGTTCAGTTACAATAATGATTTGTTTTATAAAATTGTAAGCACTGGTAAGGTGTAAGTCATAAAAAAATTAAACGACCTATAGTTGTGTCAAAGATTCCGCAGTCCTCCAAAGGAACTGTAACGTGGAATAGTTTAAAAATCTATCTATCGATCTAATCGATTCATACAAATTGGGAAAATAAACTTAATTCTTAATAACGCTAACATAATATGTTAACCATTACAAAATTAAATAATTACTGCATTTTGTGCTTCAGTTTTCATGGAATCCTTCATTAAACAGTTTTTACAACTGATAGTCATGAGCCGTGATAGCTCAGTGTCCGGGCGCTCGCCTTTAATTCAAAAATACTCGAGCACCCTGAGTTCGATCCCCGATGCCGGCACCAATGATGAATTATTACGTGCTCAGCGGTGAAGGAAAACATCGTGAGGGAACCTGCATATTTTCGAAATCATAATTTTTAAAAAAATCGAAGAAATGTGTACGGAGGAGGCCTTTGCCCAGCAGTGGGACATGTATAGGCTGATACTTTACTTTACAGCTGATAGTCGCTGACGACAGTTGTTATTAAAAGTTACTCCAATTATGGAAACAAGTTAACCGTTTTTAATAAACACTACAGTTTAGTCCTATCCTATGACCAAATTGGCGTAGTTTCCATAGTGACCTGGTTTCCATAGTACAAGCTTTGCTTAGTTTAGGACTGGATAACGTTGCGTAAAAATATGCCCGAAATATTTAGCGATTACCGCCACCCATGAGCAGCTACAGCACTTGAGGACTTGCCAACTTGATAACTATTAAACCAGCGGGCCCTGAGTACCTCGCTCACCAGAAGAAACGTGAAAGTACAATACATCCACTCACACACTTCTATGTGGTACTTCCCCGGACGAGCCTAGCCATTCATGCCACGCTCGAAGCTGTTTTGTGGATCTACCATAGAACCCATGAGCAATGATGAAGTATTTTGTACATGATTACACGAAATTTTTTCCCGACTTAACTTTATTTCAATTCGTAGCAACGATTAAAATATGAAATTCTTGAACAAGCTTTTTCAATGGAATATTTTAAGAATTTATGGAGGAAAATGGTAGTAACAGATCTGTTTTCAGTTCAGTTAAATGAGAGTCCATAATTTTTGTTCTCACACCTCATCAATTACGAACCACAGGCCGATGTTGCAATATTCTTAAACCCGTCAAAATTAAAGCAAGGTTGGCGACAATTTAATGTACTGAAGCTCCTTTACGGCGATTGTGACAAATAAACCATTGAAACCAATAAAACTGCTGCACCATAAAAAAGAAAAGTCATAAGAAGTTGGGGGTTTTATTAGAGTGCCCTTGCGCTTCGGCGCCATTTTAAATCCTGTTAAATCGGAAAACTTCATATTTATTGCTAATAGATTTTCGGCCGATGAGCACCGGGTTATTTGGGATGCAATTTTATTTTGTCCATATGGATGATCTTTATATTTGCCCCTGGGCGGGCCGGACGCAGCGATGCGGCGCCCTCCCTATTCGATTTCGGACATCGGGAATCCGCAGGGCCTGATTGAGGACGCTTTTTTAAATTGTTTTTCTCTGCGCACCATTTCTTACGAGTTTTGAATAAAAAAGCATCGTTTGGAAATGACCGGCTATAATCAGATATGAAAGCTACATCAAGCACATGTGTGTATGTGTAAGAACTTCGTTTTATAAAATAAATAGATACTATTACATACAACTGCTGCTGGTTAGGAAGAAAGAGACTATTGAACGTTGTTCAGTCTTCATATCGTTTCTCCATAGTTCACGCAGTTACGATTTTCATGATTTGAACTTTTATTAAATTTTTAAGTACGACCAGCGAATTGAAGAAATGCTATAATGCGAGATAGATGTAGTATTTGAAATTTGAAGGTATGAATTGACCGCCGAAACATTAAAACATTCGCACTACCATCAAAATGACAATAATTAGCAATTTTAAAGCACTTCTTTCAGGTGCCTGTTATAATCAACCAATACCTCAAATTAAAGGCATGTACGAAGCTTTATATCTTGATATATTTGTACATGATCTACTAATAAAGTTTATATAATACTTAGTTATTCACAATAAGCAACAAATATAAAATTGCAAGGTAAAAAAGGAAAGAATCCCTCGTGCCTTTAGGTATACATTCAAACATTGTATACAGATTTGTATTTAAAAGCATCTCAAAATTATAGAACGGATACCCGATACAAATGAGCAGCCTCATCTGAGATAGTACCACGGCTTCTCACAGAAGACCGGCGTAAAGTGAAAGTGTTATACTTTTGCGTATCGCCTAGTGCGTGAGGTAGACGGTGCCCAACTGTTTGAACATTTTCAACGTATCCACAAAAAAAGCGGTTGCAGGTCTTTTGTCCTTTTTACGGCTCAAGGTGACTGGTGAAATACCAGTCCTGCAAATGCCATGCTCATGCTGCTTATGAACATTTATAACATACTAGCTGCTGCCCGCGACTTCGTCTGCGTAGTCTGCGTCTGCTGAAAACGTAACATTCAGACAGAAAGACAGAAAGACAGATATATATAAAATATGTATCTAAATTATCTGTCTTATTCTGATGTATAACCTATATTATTCTAAAGTTTCATTAAAATCCATTCATTAGTATTTGCGTGAATGAGTAACACACATCCATACATACAAACTTTCGCCTTTATAGTACAAGTAAGGATGTGTCATTGCAGATGCATTGCTAGCCTTTAAAGAGTGGGCCCTGTTGATGAACAAGCAACAATGCTAAGTGATATATCACTCAGAAGACGAAAAGGAAAAGTATAAATTTCCTAAACTTCACGTCTTCTGTGAGGTGGTATGGTAAGTCGCCGGACAGGGGTCCATTTGTGCAACAGCAGAAACTACCTTACTTGCAGGCTACTGGTAGAATGCACACATAACTGTGGATATTTGAATAAATAAAGCGTCGATCTGCAACCTTTGCTACTGAGCGCTAGTCGCATGGGTGTTAATATTGCG